AAGATTTATTTTATTTCAGGACCCGGCAGCATGGCCTAGTGGCTTAAGTCCTTGCCTTGAATGCGCCAGGATCCCACATGGGCGCCGGTTTTATCCCCGGCAGCTCCACTTCTCATCCAGCTCCCTGCTTGTGGCCAGGGAGGGCAGTCGAGGACGGCCCACGACTTTGGGACCCTGCACCCATGTGGGCTACCCGGAAGAAGTTCCTGGATCCTGGCTTCAAACCGGCATAGCATCGACCGTTGCGCTCACTTGGGGAGTGAATCATCGGACGGAAGATCTTCCTCTCTGTCTCTATGCTATGCCGGTCTGAAGCCAGGAGCCTCCTCCAGGTCTCCCACGCAGGTGCAGGGTCCCAAAGCCGTGGGCCATCCTCAACTGCTTTCCCGGGCCACAGGCAGGGAGCTGGAAGGGAAGCGGGGCTGCCGGGGATAAAACTGGCGCCCATGTGGGATCCCGGGCGTGCAAGGCGAGGACCTTAACCACTTGCACCACCACGCCGGGCCCCAATAAATAAATCTTTAAAATAAAGATTTATTTTATTTCAAAGTCAGATATACAGAGAGGAGGAGAGACAGAGAGGAAGACCTTCCATCTAATGATTCACTCTCCAAGTAACCACAATGGCCAGTGCTGTGCGAATCGGAAGCCAGGAACTTCCCTCCAGGTCTCTCACCTGGGTGCAGGGTCCCAAGGCTTTGGGCCGTCCTTGACTGCCCTCCCAGGCTACAAGCAGGAAGCTAAATGAGAAGTGGAGCTGCCGGGATTAGAACCAGCACCCATATGGGATCCCGGCACGGCACGTTCAAGGTGAGGACTTTAGCCACTAGGCCACACCGCCCCACAGGCTCCACTGCCTTGCCTGGCTCATCCTGGCTTCACTTCTGACTCCACATTCCTACTATGAGCACCCTGGGAAGTAGCAGGTGATGACTCAAACAGCTGAGTCCTTGCATCAATGTGGGAGTCTGGCATGGCGTTCCAGGCTGCTGGCTTCAGCCTCACCCAGCTCAGGCTGTTGCAGTCACTCGGGAAGTGTAAAGTCAGATGGAAGGTCCTTTCTAAGCTCCCCCGTCTGCTTTTCAAATACCTAAGAAAGGATTAAAACATTTACAAACCACACAGGAAGGAATGAGTCTAAGGACTTTATTTACAAGGACACTCAGTTGTGGATGAGGGGCATCAGGGGAGGCCCAGGCCATGCCGGGAGCTACTTGGCTTCTGGCTTCTTGTCCCCGGCTTCAAGCTTGAGACTCTCTGGGGGCTGGCGATAGGCTGGGAAAGCCTCCCAGGGGCTGTTGAGGTCGAACTTGCGGAACTCTTGGGCCAACTCCACAGGCTCTGCCACCACCCGCTTCACCTCATCGTCATAGCGCAACTGCAGGAGCAAAAGGCAGGCTGCAGGACTGAGGACTCTGCCAAGGCCGCGAAGCAGCCTGGCAGCAGGCTGTGGGTGCCTCCCCCAGCCCTCTTCCTCTGTCTTTGCTTCAGTTCCATCCCTCTTCAGCCTTCTCCCCCAGGTCACATCCTATCTAGTTGTCTGCACCCACCAGAACCATCACACTCCCAGTGCACCCACACACACACACACACACACACACCCCTGAGCTGTCTTGCCCAGCAGAATGGCTACTCAACCATCACACACGCATAGGGTGATGGTAAGCACCCACACCGTCAGGGGGCACACAGATGGCCAATACCACAGGAGGCCCTGTTGTTTACACCGTTAGGCACGGGCTTTCTCGTTACTAGGGGACCAGCTGGATAGGTTAGCATTTTCACATACAGGAGGTAGGAGGCAGGGCAAACCAGGAGGAGACAAGGCGGCAGGGGGGAAGCAGGCCTGTGCAGAAGCAGCTGGAAATGACATGAGCAGAGTGTGTGCAGCGCTCCGAGACAGGAGTGTGTGGGCGCTGGTGGAGCAGGCAACCTGAGCACCTCATAGCTCCCCATGAAGCAGGTACCCCTGCTGTCAATCCCCATGTGTGTGTCACACCATCCTCTGCCCACAGACACCTGCAGCACCAGGTGACTGTCCTGCACCGTGGCCAGATCAGGGCTGAAGGCGCAATGTGTGCCCTGTCCTGCCCCGTGGCCAGATCAGGGCTGAAGGCCCAGTGTGTGCCCTGTCCTGCCCCGTGGCCAGGTCAGGGCTGAAGGCCCAGTGTGTGCCCTGTCCTGCCCCGTGGCCAGATCAGGGCTGAAGGCCCAGTGTGTGCCCTGTCCTGCCCCGTGGCCAGGTCAGGGCTGAAGGCCCAGTGTGTGCCCTGTCCTGCCCCGTGGCCAGATCAGGGCTGAAGGCCCAGTGTGTGCCCTGTCCCACTGATCCAGAGCATGGTGACATAATCCTCTAATTCCAGGTCTTGGGGACACAAGGCTGCCTGGATCATTAAAATGATCACTACCAAGTGAACAGGCATTCACAACATACCTGGCATTACAGATGTATCATGTAATGCTCAAAATCTATTAGCACAGTTACAAATCTGTGAGTTAAGTCCATCACTGTTCTTGTTTTGCACAAGAGAAAACGGAATCGTAATCAAAAATGAAATTAGGGTTTGCATCCAGAATCTGTGCTTACAGGCTGCCACACACCTCCCCCCCAGACTCTCTGGGTCTGTGCCCAGGGTCCCCTGGATCCCCTGTGTGTGCATCCGTAAGGCTGTAGCACAATGCCAGGGCTCCTACCTCCACGTAACCAGACAGGGGGAAATCTTTCCGGAAGGGGTGTCCTTCAAAGCCGTAATCTGTCAGGATCCTCCTGAGATCAGGGTGGTTGGCAAAGAAGACTCCAAACATGTCCCAGATCTAGAAGGGAGAGGGTCCCAGGCCCCAGGCTATCAGGGCCAAACGCAGCAATGCCTGTGTCCTGTACTCTCCAGCAGTTCTGCAGGCCAGGCCCTGGGCAGGGTCCCTGGGAGTGGAACTCACCTCCCTCTCGTACCAGTTGGCGGCCTTGTGCACAGGGACAATAGACTCCACAGGCGTCAGCTCATCTGTGTAGGTCTTCACCCGGATCCGGGAGTTGAAGCGCAGGGACAGCAGGTTGTAGACAACCTACAGACAACACAGGAGCACGCTGCCCACAGGGTGGGGGGCTGCTGGGGGCTTCTGGGTGGCAGCATCAGCTGGGAGGACACCGGGCAGGTTAGAGGTCACCTTGGCACCTCTCATTCTATTCCGAAGCACAACATTTCATAATGCACATCATCCCATGACTGATGCGGGCAAGCTGCAATGCAGGGCACCAGCAGGCCAGCCCTCTTGTGCTGTCCCCTTTCTGGAGAGCTCCCTATCCCATCCCACCCCAGCCCTCATTCGAGTGAGTCTTACTCTCCCACTCACCCATCACAATTCAGCACAAACAGTTCACTGCCACTTCAGTTCCCTGCTAGTGGCCTGATGACAACAGTGGAGGCTGGCCCAAGCTTCTGAACCCCTCTTCCCCCCCGGGAGACCAGATGAAGCTACTGGCTATTGCAGCCATCTGGGGAGAGGAGAGGAATAGCCAGCTGATGGAAGACTTGTCTCTCTCTTTCTCTCTGTAATTCTTTCAGATAATAATAGTAATGAAGTAGAGCAGCTGGGACTTGAAGTGGTACTTTTATGTGATGCCAGTGTCATACGCAGTGGGCTTAACCTGGTGTGCTGAAACACCAGCCCCTTTTTAAGATTTCTTTCTTTTTTGGCCCAGCATGATAGCATAATGGTTCAGGTCCTCAGCCTTGAACGCGCCGGGATCCCATATGGGCGCTGATTCTAATCCTGGTAGCTCCACTTCCCATCCAGCTCCCTGCTTGTGGCCTGGGAAAGCAGTCGAGGATGGACAAAAGCCTTGGGACCCTGCACCCGTGTGGGAGACCCAGAAAGAAGTTCCTGGCTCCTGACTTCGGATCGGTGCAGCACCAGCCACTGTACATCTTAAATCTTAAATACATCTTAAAAAAAAAAAAGAGATGTATTTCTTTTTATTAGAAAGGCAGATGTACAGAGAGAAGGAGAGGTAGGGAAAGATCTCCTGTCTGCTAGTTCACTCCCCAAGTGGCCCCAACTGAACCACTTGGAGGAAGTTCCGGGCTTCTCACTGCAGACTGGTGCAGCACCAGCTGTTGCGGTCATTTGGGGAGTGAATCTCAGATAGAAAATACTTCTGTCTTTCCTCCTCTCTCGATATATTTAAATTTGCAATAAAATCTTTAAAAAAAAAATTTTTTTTTATTGTAGTCAGATATACAGAGAGGAGAAGAGACGGAAAAGATCTTCTATCCATTGATTCACTCCCCAAGCAGGCCCAATGGCCGGAGCTGCGCCGATCCAAAGGCAGGAGCCAGAGTCTCCTCCAGGTCTCCCATGTGGGTGCAGGATCCCAAAGTTTTGGGATGTCCTTGACTGCTTTCCCAGGATACAAGCAGGGAGCTGGATGGGAAGCAGGGCCGCCATGATTACAACTGGCGCCCATATGGGATCCCGGCGCATGCAAGGTGAGGACTTTAGCTGCTAGGCTACCACGCCAGGCCTGCCTGTTCCTTTCTCCCTCTCACCTACATAGGTCATTGATCTCTATGGTCAGATGTCTGCTTTGTTTGGGGATTCATGAAGGGTCGACATTAGGCACTCATACATTTTTATTATTTAAAAAAGTCAAGACAGAAGGTTATCTGCCTTCGCTAGTTCACTCCTCCAGGGCCAGAAATTCCATCTAGGTTCCTGTGTCTCCCAGGTAGGTGATCAGGGAGCCAAGTGCTTGAGTACCACCAGGGTGCACATTAGCAGGAAGGCAGAATGGCGAGTTGAGCCAGGATTCATCCAGAGTCTCTGATACAGGGTGCTAGGGCACCAAATGGCAGACTAACTGTTGTGCCAAAGCCCAACCCTGCAAATTCTTTCTTGCACCCAGTGTCTGCCAGGAGGAGGTGATCACCAGTTGCAGGTACTAAGAACTGGAGTGGCCCGGCCATCCAGCTCTACTACCACTTGGTCCCTATAGCCACCCTCCATGACGGAGACTACTCCATTTGCTTTCTGAACTTTGGTTCCCTAAAGTATAGAACGACTGTACAAAATATCTGAGATCACCATTTTTAGTGGCACGGCCAAGACTCAAACTACCGGCCTCCGAGGCTTGGGTGATGCTGAGTTCTGTTAGGAGGCTGCAGTTCCTCCACGTGACTGTCACCACGACACTATCCTGTGGCCTCTCTACCTGGTCAGATCTCCCAACTGACCTCAAAACGGTTCTGCCGGGTTGGGACGTCCACTGCCGTCAGGTCAGCCAAGGACTTGAACTGCGCATTGGTGTGGTCCCTGAGGAAGGTCAGCACTGGGATGACACCGTCGGGATGAATGCAGATCTCTAACTCATTGAAGCAGGACACCTGCAGGCAGGGCAGGATGGGAGGCAAGGCAGGAACACGCTCTCAGAGGCTGTCTTCAGCTGCAGACACCCACGTAGGCCCAAAAAAGAAGCCCACTTCTGTTTCTTTGACACACACTCTCACCCCCAAACAGCAGGAGTATTTGTTACCTGAACATGCTGGACGTATTTGGGCAGGATTTCAGCCACATACTCCCCAAAAGCTGACAGCTGCTTGTGAGCCACATCATTCCGAGGTCTGACAGTGGCTAGAAAGGAAAGTGCCATCAGCAAAGGACTGGGCCACACAAGCCACAGCCAGCTTCAAGGCCAGTCTCCCAGACTTATGGTGGGGTGTCCCCTAGCAGCAGGGATCCCTGCAGGTCCTGGACAAGGCTGAGGGTAGTGGGGCCCTTCTCCGTGGAACAGGAAGTGAGGGAGAACTTGGGGGAAAGGGCCAGGTCTCCTAACTCCAAGCCCGTTCATGGGGGGAGCCGATCGGGGTGGTCATCACGCAGCCTGAAACCACTGTGGGCTCACACATCACAGGCCGTGGAGGACGCAACGCCGCACCTCTGTCCTGCACTCGTCTGCGACCCCGGGCACTTTAGTTCTCAGGACGGATTGTTTCCTGATCTATAGTAAGAGCAGTTAAGTACTAGCTACGTCATGTAAGAACGAGGTGACAGATACGATCGGTGGCTGCCACAGAGAACACCGAGAGCGACTCGAAGTTCTGTTTGCAGTTAGAAAGGGTCAAGGGGATGGTCTGCCGGGGCCGCTGCGGACGGGTCCAAGGAGATGGCTCCAGTCGGCAGCCGGGTCTCCAACGGCAGGACGGGGACGAGGGCTGCCCGCACATACTCACGGCGCGTGTCGGCCGCGGCGCCCAGCTTCCTCACCGGCAGCAACCGCACCGAAGGTCGCCCTGTCCCTGCACGGGGAGACAGAAGGCACAGGAGCGCAGGGTGAGGCCTGAGGAGCCCAGTGTGCACTCCTAACCCTGGGCTCGGCCAGCTACCCCTTCCTGCTCACCCCTGGCCAGCGTCGCGGCCCCGAGCAGCCCGCGCCAGCACACCCGGCTAGCCCCGGCAGCCATTTTGCCCGGAGAAGCCGCACAGGACACGGACCCCCCAAGGGCACGGACCGGAAGCGGAAGTGTACCACAATCTTCTTCCGGGCGGACGCAAGGCCGGAAGCAGAGGTTCCGGATTCCGGGTACCGTGATGAAAGGAGGGAAGACAGGTGAGAAAAAGAGACGGACAGGTGGGGAGCGCCGTGAGGAGGTGGACGTAGCCTTTAGCTCAGTGTGACAGAGGCTGCAGAGAAGGTGAGAGGACACTGCAGAACCGGGAGGCGAGAGGAGGGGGGCAGGGGCGGGCGTTCTGGGTTCTGCGTTCCACACCCCTCCCCCGCTTCTCAAGCTCCGCTTTAGACGAGGCCAGGTAGGACTGAGGGGGGTGGGAAAGAACGGTTTCCTTGGCGACCGTTTCCCGGGCGACCTGAAGTGCCCTGGGACCCTGCACAGGGCGCTGGGCCTCTTCGTGCCCCGGATTGGGGACGGAGCCTTGGGGTAATCTGGGAAGTGGGGGGGTGGGGGGGGCGGTCCTGGCGGGGCCGGGCCAAGCCTCCACCTGCAGGGTCTGGACCCCATAGTTGGGACGAGAGGGGCCTTGGCCACCGAGACTTGGGAAGACAGACCCCTAGCTCTGAGCTCGGTCTAGTTGCTTAGCAAGGTTGGTTACCTTCGGCCGCTTTTGTGTGTTGACCTACATCCTGGCTTTTGTTAACATCATGAAAGGCGCATTCCGATTTTTCTCAAGGACACACCCGGAGTTGATTACATTGGGGGGAGTGAACCCAGCTCTGGTTTGAAAGAGAGGATCAGAGCTGAGGTCCCTGTACATGCCCATCTGCCACCATCTTCCCTCTCCTCCCTCCCTCACTGGGACCACTGGAGTCACAGCCTGGTCACCCAGGTGCCATTGTTTTTCTAGACAGCCGGCAGAAAGAGAAGTGGGCTGCCATGGAATCACCAGAAGAGCCCGGCACGTCCATGGACGAGAACTACTTCGTGAACTACACCTTCAAGGACCGCTCGCACTCTGGCCGGGTGGCCCAGGGCATCATGAAGCTGTGTCTGGAGGAGGAACTCTTCGCTGATGTCACCATCTCAGTGGAGGGCCGGGAGTTCCAGCTCCACCGGTTGGTCCTTTCGGCTCAGAGCTGCTTCTTCCGCTCCATGTTCACGTCCAACCTGAAGGAGGCCCACAACCGCGTGATAGTGCTGCAGGACGTGAGCGAGTCTGTCTTCCAGCTCCTGGTGGATTATATCTACCACGGCACGGTCAAACTCCGAGCTGAAGAGCTGCAGGAGATCTACGAGGTGTCGGACATGTACCAGCTGACGTCTCTCTTTGAGGAGTGCTCTCGCTTCTTGGCACGCACCGTACAGGCAGGGAACTGCCTGCAGGTGATGTGGCTGGCTGACCGGCACAGTGACCCTGAGCTCTACACGGCTGCCAAGCACTGCGCCAAGACCCACTTGGCCCAGCTGCAGAGCACCGAGGAATTCCTCCACTTGCCCCACCACCTGCTCACGGATATCATCTCAGGTGAGTTGAGGAAGGGTCCACATGCCTGGCTTCTTGGGCTGTGGTGTTCAGTGGGTGTTTCAGTTCAAGAAAGAGGAAACACACAAACACACGTAGATTCCTGGTAGGGGTTTCCATAATCATTCTTGCTGGCAGTTTAGATGGCTGCTGAGAACAGCTGAGTGGAGACTCAGTGTATTTTTGTTAGAGGCCCCTACTTACCCTCTCCCCCCCCCCCTTTTTTTTTTAGATTTATTGATTTTTAATGGAAAGGCAGATCAGATTTAGGAAGAGAAAGAGAGACAGAGAGCAAGCTCCTCCATCCACTTGTTCACACCACAAATGGACACATGGCCAGAGCCAAGCTGCCCCGAAGCTAGAAACCAGGTTCTTCCTCCAGGTCTGCCATGTGGGAGCAGGGTCCCAAGGCTTTGAACCTCCTCCACTGCTTTCCAAGGCCACAAGCAGGGAGCTGAATGGGAAGTACAACAGCTAGGACATGAACTGGTACCCATATGGGATGCCAGCACTACAGGCAAGGTACTAGCCTACCTTGCCACTATGCTAACCCCAACCTCTGCTTCTAATTCAGCTTCCCGCTACTGTGCTTGGGAAGCAAGAGGCGATGGCCCAAATGCTTGGGTTCCTGTCACCCATGTGGGAGATAAGGGCAGACCTTCGTCCAAGCCAGAGCTTGGCAGGCATTTGTAAGGGAGCCAGCAGAAGAAAGATCTTTTTTGTTTGTTTGTAAGATTTATTTATATTTATTTTTATTGCAAAGGCAGATAGAAAGATCTTCTAGCCGATGATTCACTCTCCAAGTGACCCCAGTGGCCAGTGTTGCACCAATCTGAAGCTGGGAGCCAGGAGCTCCTCCAGGTCTCCCACACGGGTGCAGGGTCCCAAGGCTCTGGGCCGTCCTCCACTGTTTTCCCAGGCCACAAGCAGGGAGCTAGATGTTAAGTGGGGCTGCCAGGATTAGAACTGGTGACCTTATGGGATCCCGGTGCATTCAAGGCAAGGACTTTAGCCTCTAGGCCACCGTGCCAGACCCAAATCTTGTTTTTTGTCTTTCCATCTAGCTCAGTGACTCCCCTTCAAATAAGAAGTACATAAGATTTAAATGGCTGTGGCCCAGCGCCATAGCCTAGCAACTAATGTCCTTGCCTTGCTTGTGCTGGGATCCCATATGGGTACCAGTTAGTGTCCTGGCAGCCCCTTTTCCTATCCAACTCCCTGCTTGTGATCTTGGAAAGCAGTCAAGGATGACCCGAACCCTTGTGACCCTGCACCTGCACGGGAGATCCAGAGGAGGCTCCAGGCTCCTGTCTTTGGATCTGCTCGGCTCCGGCCTTTGCGGTTGCTTGGGGAGTAAATCATACAGAAGAGCTTGTTCTCTCTCTCTCCTCCTCTCTGTTATCTTTTCAATAAAAATAAGTAAGTGTTTTTTTAAAGATTTCTTTTTAAAGATTTATTTATTTTTATTGGAAAGTCACATATAGAGAGAGTAAGATCTTCTGTCCGTCGATTCACTCCCCAAGTAGCCACAACAGCCGGAGCTCAGCCAATTCAAAGCTAGGAGTCTGGAGCCTTCTCTGGGTCTCCCACATGGGTGCAGGGACCCATGGTTTTGGGCTGTCCTTGACTGCTTTTCCAGGCCACAAGCAGGGAGCTGGATAGAAAGCGGGGCCACTGGCATTAGAGCCAGTGCCTATGCCTGTATGGGATCCAGGCACATGCAAGGCGAGGACTTTAGCCACTAGGCCATCTCGCCAGGCTCAAAGATTTATTTTTGCTGCAACATCAGGTATACAGAGAGGAAGATCTTCCATCCAATGATTCACTCCCCAAGCAGCTACAACGGCTGGAGCTGCATCGATTCAAAGCCAGGAGCCAGGAACTTCCTCCAGGTCTCCCACACGGGTGCATGGTCCCAGGGCTTTGGGCCACCCTCCATCAATTTCCCAGGCCACTAGCAGGGAAATGGATCAAGCAGGATACATACAGGCAGCTATATGGAACCCTGGCATATGTAAGGCGAGGACTTTAGCCACTATGCTACTGCACCGGACCCCAAATGAATGTGTTTTTTGTTTTTAAATCAGAAACATAAGGCTGGCACAATGGCTCAATTGGCTAATCTCTGCGTGCAAGTGCCAGCTTTGCAAATGGGTGTCTTTTTGTGTCCTGGTTGTTCCACTTCCCATCCAGCCCCCTGCTTGTGGCCTGGGAAAGCACAGCACGGCCCAAAACCTTGGGACCCTGCACCCGTCTGGGAGACCCGGAAGAGCTCCTGGCTCATCAGCTCAGCTCCATCTGTTATGACCACTTGGGGATTGAATCAGTGGATGGAAGATATTTCCTTCTCTTTCCCTCCATCTCTCTGTTAATCTACCTTTCCAATTAAATTAAAAATCTAATAAAACAAGGCAGTTTTAAGTTAGTTTTATACACACACACTCACAATGGTGATCTATAAAGTGCTCCATGCTTTTGGAGTTCCCTGCTCTCTCCGATTTCCGTCAGATTATCGCTGACTGCGCCTTTCCTCCGGCTCTCACAGATGGAGTTCCGTGTTCCCAGAACCCAACAGAGGCAATAGAAGCCTGGATCAATTTTAATAAAGAAGAAAGAGAGGCTTTTGCAGAATCGCTAAGGACCAGCCTGAAGGTAAGGCGGGTTTTTGAAGATCTGGTTCACCACCCTCTGCGTGTGCTGGGCTGACCCTCTGGGGGCTACTGAGTCAGCTAGCTCTGATGCCAAGCTGTGAGCCACCCAGCTCCTTGGGAGAACTGCGTTTTTATCTGGGGGTTCATTCTGAGCACGCTGTGTATGCAACACTGGCTGGCCATGTTCTTTGAGCAGCAGATTCTGCGCCCCAATACAAAATGCCTACATCAAAGTGATTCCAGGAGAGTGAGGTTACACATAACCCCTCTGGGGACGTGGGCTGGGACCTTGGGGTGTGCTTCTTGGGTGCAGGTTGGAGAAGGACTGACTACTTGTGATTGATTTTGGCTTTCAGGAAATTGGGGAGAATGTGCATATTTACTTGATTGGGAAAGAGTCCTCACGTACCCACTCGCTAGCCGTGTCCTTGCACTGTGCGGAAGACGACTCCATCAGCGTGAGCGGCCAGAACAGCTTGTGTCACCAGATCACGGCTGCCTGCAAGCACGGAGGCGACCTGTACGTGGTGGGAGGCTCCATCCCGCGCCGCATGTGGAAGTGCAACAATGCCACAGTCGACTGGGAGTGGTGTGCACCTTTGCCCCGGGACCGGCTGCAGCACACCCTGGTGTCTGTGCCCGGCAAGGATGCCATCTACTCCCTGGGTGGCAAGACCCTGCAGGACACCCTCTCCAATGCAGTCATCTATTACAGGGTGGGTGACAATGTATGGACAGAGACGACCCAGCTGGAGGTGGCTGTGTCGGGGGCCGCGGGGGCCAACCTCAATGGGACCATCTACTTACTGGGCGGGGAGGAGAACGACCTGGACTTCTTTACCAAACCCTCCCGACTCATCCAATGCTTCGACACAGAGACAGACCGCTGCTACGTGAAGCCCTACGTGCTGCCCTTCGCAGGCCGCATGCATGCTGCTGTGCATAAGGATCTGGTGTTCATCGTGGCTGAGGGGGACTCCCTGGTCTGCTACAATCCCCTGCTAGACAGCTTCACTCGGCTCTGCCTTCCTGAGGCCTGGAGCTCCGCCCCGTCCCTCTGGAAGATCGCCAGCTGCAACGGAAGCATCTATGTCTTCCGGGACCGCTATAAGAAGGGGGATGCCAACACCTACAAGCTTGACCCCGCCACTTCAGCTGTGACTGTCACCAGAGGCATCAAAGTGCTGCTTACTAACTTGCAGTTTGTGTTGGCCTAGGCTGGGTGGGGGTTGGGGGAGCAGCTCGCTCCTGTGTTCTCCTGTTTTCCAGCACCTCCCCCGAACCCCCATTCAGAGTAGCATTCTTTGAGGGTCACTCCTCTGCCCTCCCATGAACCCATGGAGGTGTCATCTGGGCCTGTAGAACTGCTGCTGCCCAGCTGGCCACGGGAGCTGCGGGAGCCAGCCCCCACTCTGCTGGCCGCTGGCAGCAAGCCCTCTCACAGATCAGGCACAGCCTCACTTTGCCTGATCAGTGGTCCCAGTGCAGAAGAAAGGCTGCCCAATCTTGTTCCTTTTTTTCTCCTATTTCCTATGAAATGGCTATTTGATAATTTTTCCACACACACAAGAAAATTATGTGTTCAAGTTTTCCTTCAGGCTTGGGTTGTGAGACTAAGCTGAAGATGTACTTCACCAGCAAGAGTCAACTGTACAATTCAAGGTGTTCCTTCTATTATCTACTCACCTGTCGAGAAGTGGAACTTTGGCTTTATTTTTGGCTTACGCCAAGGGATAAGCCTGAAAGTTGAAAGGATTATTTCTGGCTGATTGCAGAAACATTTTCAAACTCAATTATATAAGGCCTCTGCTCTTTTTAAAACCTCTGAGTTACGTGCAGATCTAGGAATCGTTCCTATAAATAAAAGGTTCTTTTGAAGGGAGATGCGTCTGTTGACTTCTGAAGGGGTGACTAAGGGGAACTACTACACACCTAGACACTTTTACATCCATGGCATTCTAGTCTGCATCCTTGTTTTCTTTCCTCTTTTTAAAGATTTATTTATTTTTATTGGAAAGTCAGATTTACAGAAAGGAGGAGAGACAGAAAGAACTTCCATCTGCTGGTTCATTCTTCAAGTGGCTGTAATGGCCAGAGCTGAGCTGATCTGAAACCAGGAGTTTCTTCCAGGTTTTCCATGCGGGTGCAGGGTCCCAAGGCTTTGGGCCATCCTTACTGCTTTCCCAGGTCATAAGCAGAGAGCTGGATGAAAAATGAAGTAGCCAGGACACAAACTGGTCCCCATACAGGATCCTGGCACATGAAAGGTAAGGACTTCAGCCACTAGACTACCTCACTGGGCTCCCATACCTTGTTTCCTAAATACAGGATAAAAGATTTAATGGGGATGAGGGAGCCTGGCATGATGGCTCAGTGGCTAAATCCTCACTTTACAAGTGCCAGGATCCCACATGGGTGGAGACTTGTTTCATGGCTGCTCCACTTCCCGCCCAGCTCCCTGTTTATGGCCTGGGAATACAGTGGAAGACTGCCCAAAGCTCTGGGACCCTGCACTCACATGGGAGACCCCAAAGAAGCACCTAGCATGTAGCTCCTGGCTTTCGATCAGCTCACCTCTGGCTGTTGCAGCCATCTGGGGAGTGATCAGCAGATGGAAGATCTTTCTGTCTCTGCTCCTCGCAATAAATGTTAGCTGCCTTTCTAATAAAAATAAATCTTATTTTAAAAATGTGTCAGGGACACCCACAGGGCCAATGAAACTGATTCTGACAGAGCTGAGTATTTCCTTTTTCGTGGTGAAAGTCCTTGAGGTACAGTGCTCAGATGTGGTTAGCTGAGTTAGATACACAGCACTACTCTGTAGATATTACTTCCTCTCTGATCCAATTCAAGACGGTAAGATACCCCATCCCTAAGTTCCATGAATGCAAGCCATGCTGAGTTTCTTTGTAGCTATACAATTGTTATTTCAAGAAAGTGAAACAAGACAAAAGCAATATTAACCATTACTTAGTAGATTTCCATTAGGTCAAGACTGGGCTTACTTCAGTCCTATTAAATTTTTATTCTGTGTCCAGCAGGGCTGTCTTGAATCCCTTCTAACCAGTCTACTTTGTGTCATTGTTGTCTCACAGTCTCGGGCTTTGCTGCCTCTGAAGTGATCTTGTGGAACTCTTTGAGAACTTGGAACTGGCCAGATCTGATGTGGACATGCGGCCGGATCTTGGTGATGGCTCTCACAGCCTCTTCAGGACTCCAGTTGTGGACCTGATGGACAAGAGTTGGGTAGGCAAAAAGGAAAGAAAGGAACAGACATCAGGTTGCTCTCTCTTGAGTCCTCCGCTGAAGGAGTCCACTTTTTTTTTTTTTTTTTTTTAAGCAAAACATCACGGTTTAGGAGCAAACAATACAGCTAGCCTGGTAGTTAACACATCCCATAAGGGAGAGCCCAGCTTCAAATTCTGGCCCTACTCCTAGTTCTAGCTTCCTCTCCAGCCAGTACAATCCCAGCGGCTCCATTTCCCATCCAGATCTCTGCTTGTGGTCTGGGAAAGCAGTCGAGGTTGGCCCAAAGCCTTGGGACCCTGCACCCACATGGGAGACCTGGAAGAGCTCCTGGCTCCTGGCTTTGGATTGGCGCGGTTCCAGCCACTGTGGTCACTTGGGGAGTCAATAAGCGGATGGAATATCTTCTTCTCTGTCTCTCCTCCTCTCTATATATCTGACTTTGCAATAAAAATAAAATAAATCTTTTTTTTTTAATTAAAATAAGCCATAAAAAAAAGAACTCCAAATATCTGAGGTAACACCGCTGCCTCCCAGGGACTACATCAGCGAGAAGATGGTAAAGTTGATGGTCAGAGCTGGCTACCGAAGGCAGGTACTCTGATGGAAACAGGCTTTTCAACCACAAAGCTAAATGTGTACCCCAGGTCCATTTTTCTGAACACTAGCTATAGGCCAGCATTTGATGTATTTTCTCGGGCTTCCTGGCACATTTAGTCCTAGGAAAAGCATCAGGAGAAGACACTGTCGCCTCCATAGCTCAGGGGCCTTCCAGGATAACACAGCGCCACCCACACAGCCTGACGTGGCTCCTTCCAGTAAGGTACTCCCTGCAGACCATTCCATGGAGGTCTGGAAATCTGATGCAGATGGACCAGTTCAGAACCAAAGGGCCTCTCCTTACCTGAATCAGATATGCTGCCACCATGGTGGCACTTCTGGAACGGCCTGCCTTGCAATGCACGTAGACACACTGGCCCAGTGCCTGGTATTTCAGTGCGAACTGGACTCCTTTCTGGAGGTTAGCCAAGGTGGGGATGCCCGTCATATCAACTGTGCTCAGCCGCAGCTGCTCGACCCCAAATTTCTGCCACTCCTGGAACCAGTTCCACCAGCATAACAAAAAGAAAAAAAAAAGAACACGGATGTAGGTAGACAAAGACAAGCTCTCCAAAGGCAGCAAAGCAACAAGGAAGTTTCTGGGTTTACTGCTTCCTGTTTAACTTTTCACAGAAAAGTCCATGAAATGGCTGACTCCAAAGGTGGTACCTTATTAAAACAGCCATACTACTGAGTTAAAATTAAGTCCGAGGTTGAAGTATTTTTTACATTTTTTATTTATATATATATTTTTTTACCACCCCCGGCCGCCACTGCAGTGCCCGCCCACCCCCGGCCCCTGAAGTACTTTTTAAAAAGATTTTATTTTATTATTTTATTGGAAAGTCAGATATACAGAGGAGGACAGAAACAAAGATCTTTCATCTGCTGGTTCACTCCCTGCAATGGACTATCCAGAGCTGAGTTGATCCAAAGCCAGGAGCCAGGAGCTTCTTCTGGATCTTCCATGTGGGTGCAGGGTCCCAAGGCTTTGGGCTGTTCTCTACTGCTTTTCCAGATCACAAATAGGGAGCTGGATGAGAACAGCTGGGACACAAACCAGAACCCATATGGGATCCCAGTGCATCAAGGCGAGAACTTTAGCTACTAGGCTACTGTCTCTGGCTTGAAGTATTCTTAAAACATTACTTGAATCTACAGCCACAAAGCACTAGCTATGGACAATTCACTGACAGAAGTCATGGGCAGGCTTTCTTTAGCATAATCTTAGCACTTGGAGAGGAAGTGATCCAATTGCAAGGTTGGATTATTATATACATACATATATATATTTTTTAAAGCTTTAGTATCTTTTTAATTTATTTTTTATTTTTTTATTGGAAAGGCAGATATACAGAGAGGAGAGACAGAGAGGAAGATCTTCGTCCAATGATTCACTCCCCAAGTGAGCGCAACGGTCAATGCTATGCCAATCCGAAGCCAGGAGCCTCTTCTGGGTCTCCTGCGCGGGTGCAGGGTCCCAAAGCTTTAGGCCGTCCTCCACTGCTTTCCCAGGCTACAAGCGGGGAGCTGGATGGGAAGAGGGGCCGCCGGGATTAGAACTGGTGCCCATATGGGATCCCGGGCGTGCAAGGTGAGGACCTTATCCACTTGCGCCACCGCGCTAGGCCCATACATATATTTTTTAAAATGTATCTATTTAAAAATCAAAGCTAGGAAAGAGGAGAAAGAAAGATATTCTACAAGCTGGTTCACTCCCCAAATGGTCACGACAGTGAAGGCTGTCAGGCCAGAAGCAGGAGCCAGGAATTCCATCCACTTCTCCAACAGGGATGGTAGATGCCCAACCATGCGAATCTCCTCCTGCTGCTTTCTCAGGCACATTAGCCTGGAAGTGGAGCAGCCAGGACTCTAAACTAGCACGGAGATGCTGGCATTGCAGAAGATGGCTTAAAGTGCTATGCCACAATGCAGGTCCTATGGTACTGTATTTTGCTAGATCTCTGTCCATGCGGGGTGTTTTTTGTTTTGTTTTTGTTTTTTTTTTTTAAGATTCATTTTATTTTTGGAACCAGATCATTGGCTCAGCTAGCTAATTCTCTACCTCCAAGGACTGGAACCTCATATGGGTACCAGTTTGTGCCCTGGATGCTCCATTTCCCATCCAGCTCCCTGCTTATGGCCTGGGAAAGCAGTCAAGGATATCCCAAAGCCTTGGGACCCTGCACCTGCGTGGGAGACCCAGAAGAAGCTCCTGGCTTCAGATGAGCTCAGCTTTAGCCATTGTGGTCACTTGGGAAGTGAATCAGCAGACAGAAGATCTTTTTCTCTGTTTCTCCTTCTCTTCGTAAATCTGATCTGCCTTTCCGATGGAAATAAATACATCTTAAAAAAAATATTCATTTTATTTTTTACTAGAAAGGCAGAGTCATAGGAAAAAAATGCAGAGAGATCATCTATCCACTGGTTCACAAATAGCTGGAACAACAGGAGCTGAGCTGAAGTCAGGAGCTTCTTCCTGGTCTCCCATATGGAGGCAGGGACCCAAGGACATGGGCCATCCTCTGGTGTTTTTCCAGGCCATAAGCAGGCAGCTGGACCTTAAGTGGAACAGGTGGGGTGGCACCCAAACCAGCACCTCTATGGGACGCCAACACTGGAGGTGGAAGCATAGCTAACATCGTGGGCCACAGCTTCTGCCTCAAGAACATCATTTTAAAGCTCAGAAAATATACCCACCTTGATTAGTGCAATATCATTCCCTTACACAGAAGAAGAAATAAGGCTTCTGGTGATGAGGCTAACGTTACTTTTGTAGAACAATTTCAGCTAATGCTGTGTGTATTCTCATTATGAATATCTTTAAGAAATATAAGAGATTGGGCTGGTGCAATGGTTCAGGGGCTAAATCCTGCTATATAGATGCTGATTCACGTGCTGGCTGCTCCATTTCCCATCCAGCTTCCTGCTTGTGGCCTGGGAAAACAGTGGGGGATGGCCCAAAGCCTTGGGACCTTATACTCCCATGGGAGACCTGGAGGAAGCTCCTAGCTCCTGGGTCCTGGCTTGGA